AGAGAGAGAGAGAGACAGAGAGTCCTGGTGGCACAGTGATTAAGCACATGTCTGGTGACCAGAAGGTCAGCTGTTCAAATCCACTGGTTGCTTTAATGGAGAAAGATGTGGCAATCTTCTTCCATAAAGAATTACAGCTTTGGACATCCTGTGGGAGACTTCTACTCTCTCCTACAGGGTCTCTATCAGTCACAATTGAGTCAATGGAACACAACAACAACAACAACAGGTTACAAAAAGAAAAAAAAAGTACCACAATTCCAGAAAAGCTTGAAGATGGAGCAAATAGGAGCACAGAACACAATCCCAACCTGCTATCAGCTGTCACCATAATATTAAGTGGATTCATTCCATGAGCTTAAGTGTTTAAGCTACCAAAGAACATAATGACATTTTTTTTTACCCTGTCATCTGCACATTCAAGTAGATCTCCATGGCAGCATTCCTTGTGGACTTTGGTGAGATCTGTCACCAACTTAGAAACTTCTGCAAAGTCAACCTTGGGAAATCTCTGGCTCAGGCGAGCTACACTCCTAAAAACAAAATCCCCCCATAAATGAATTAACATTTAATATTTTATGTGCCAATACTAAAGAAATACTATTTATATAATGAGGAAACTCAAGGCAACTAGCAAATAGACATAATCTGTAAAATTCATTACATCTTATTTTAATGGAAGTTCTGAAAAAAATTATCCTTTCTCCTTCAGGCAGAATTCTCCATTGTAACAGTGGGTGCTGTGGCTAGAAGTCTTTTGTTTGTTGTTAGTTGCCCTCGAGTTAATTCTGACTCATGGCAACCCCATGAGTGCGAGTTAATTCTGACTCATGGCAACCCCATGAGTGCGGAGTAGAACTGCTCCATAGGGTTTTCAAGGCTGTGACCAATTCATAAAAGCAGAGATTAAATAAGGATTCTAAAAGAGGCAACATGTTGTGAGGCATACGGTTTGGAGCCAGACCTCACTTCCAGATGTGGCTCTCTCACTTACTAATAGTGTGACCCTAGGCAAGTTACTTAGCCTCTCTGAGAGTTAACCTCTGTAGTCACAGCAGCATTGTTGTGAGAATTAAATTGTTGTTGTTGTTGTTATGTGCCGTCGAGTCGGCCC